TGATCATAGTAAAATTACTAATACTGCTGACATAGTTTTGATTTACTAGTTGAGTTACCACCCCAGTACGTACGTACGTACAAGATGGCAACGCGTCACGGTCATGTTAATTGATGATCTATGATTTTCCTCGTCACCCCTGATCTAATTTTAACATTAAATTTATTCTTTCTAATTGCCTCTATTGAAAATTTACAGAACTCGCGAAAATGATCCCTCATAACTATCGGCTGAACTTAATAAAGGTCGGTACGCAACGAAACAAGTATGTTTTCTATTTTTTGAAATATCAACGGACTTTTATTTTTCATGTTGAGATGAAGTATGAAAAAATGGTCAAAAAGAAATAACTTAAACACTGTTGGAAGATATGGTAACAGCCAGGTATGCTTTACAAATTATCGCGTGAACTTTGCTTTTTGTTGCTAATATCATATTTATATTAATTATAAGGTGGTCGTTAGAAGCTCCTACTGTTCTATGCCAAGATGCTTTTGTCGCCTCAACGCAAGGTTTTAATATTATACTGGGGTTTGGGTCAAATCCTGATAAACAGAATCCCGACAAAGTTAGCCGGGATTAGCCAATTTTTTAGGAATTTCGACCCTGTCGGGATTCTCATTTTCGGGGTTTTGACCTAAACCCATTATAATGATATAAAGACGCTTACATGTCAGGCCATTTTTAAACATACAGTATATATGTATCAAAATTTAAATATTGGATTTTATTGGGGTTAGGGTGAAATCCTACGTTAGGGTAGGAGTAGGTATTACTGTATTAGCGGCATTATAGTTATTTTGATCTGACACATTTTAATTTAACGTACAACTACTAAAGCAAACCAAAATCAAGTGTCATCTATGAATAACGATGTTTCGTTAATCTTACTTACCATGAGTTTGTAATTTCATTAATACTTCGAATCAAAAAAAATTGGAGATTGGCCTTTATGCTAATAGATTCAGAATGTAATGCAAAAATGTTAAACACCTCCACAGTAAATAGAATATTTTTTCTTACGCGTTCGAAGCCTAATAACCACATCTCATAATGTATGCTATTCTAGTAAGATAAAGATTATCAGCTTTAAAACAGAATTTATTGCCAATACAAATTGTACGCCAATATGTTCTTAGTGGTGATAGTATTCCATGCCTTGATCTTGATGCCCTAACCTTAAAGCAACACGCACAAGTTGATATTTTCTTGGACAGCAATGTTGTAACTAACCCTAACATTCCGGTGCAAATTCACATTTTCACGTAGCCAAGACCTACAAACCTACAAAGAAAGAAAGTTAGTTCAAGAAAAAAAATCCAATAGATTCACTTGCTGATCTAATTTGATTTGAACAATTTAATGAATCTTCTTCAAATAACGAAAAATCCATTATCGGAATTGTCATTGTCAAAGAAAAAATCCATGTTCAAATTTGAAATCTCAGTTTTTTAATTAGTGTTAGTGTTAGTGACACAAAATGACGCGCTTAGCTTTTAACGTTAAATTGAAATGAAAAAACATGTGCTAAACATTAAACACTGACGGCTTTAGCACATTTCAATATCGGTATGTTGGCAATTTTTCGGTTTAACGAGTTAAAATTTGAATTATTAATTTAAGCACCAAAATTAACTTTTTTTTTTCTGTAGGT